TAACCTTCATCACCAATATCCTTAGTCTCATGCTAATGATCACGTGTATAACAAGCAAAGAAAAACAACACAACGAAAGGGAATGAGAAACATCTCACTCTGGCTCACGGTGTAGAAATGAACACTGGATAGCCAAACAAAACCAAGGCATATATATATATACATAGCATAGATAGATTAACAATAATATTACATTCTACTCATCCAAGAAAAAAATCTATTTAATAAATAACATTAAAATGCACTTGTAATGGACATGGATTACATATTATCATGCATGTGGCGCCAATAAAACATCACATGGTGCATTGCCGCTAGCAACACACGTAGAGTAATTTAGGAGTACATGTCGGGTCACACCCTCTACGCACTCTCACTAGAAGGACATACTACTAGGGTTTAGTCGGGATAGCTAAGCTGCGCAAGATACATCCCATGCACACAATGGACGAGATTGAAACTTACAAATCAAACTATCCTCAAGGATTAATCCACAAGCTTTTACACAAGAGGGCCTTCCCTAGCGGTGTATTCCATATCGTACCCTTAAAAACATCTATGCAAATGATGCTTATAAATCAATACTTTATGCACTCTCATATCACATTATCATATCTCATTATCATATAATATTATCATGTCGTTCCACCATGTCAATTTTTATCACATCACATACTCATTAATTAATTACATTCATTGAAGGATCACATTGAATAACATAAGAAATTCACATCATTGCATATCATAGATCACCAGAGAGAAGTAACACATGATTCATATTGCACCAATAAAAATCATCAAACAAAGAAGGAAAGAGGCATAATAGAGAAACTGGCGCTCAGCCCCAAATTGGGCACTCAGTGTAAGGCTTCTAGAGAGTAATCTTAACTCTTTGGTTAAGCCATGCTAAGTGTGGAATCTCACGCTCAGCGTGGAGCATGCTAAGCCTCAATTTCACACTTAGCTTGAGGATCACCAACAACATTACCAACTTTCTGTCACCTTGACACTTAGCGTGGTTTCTGCAATTAGAAGCTCTATAGTTTGCAATTTTCGTTTTTACATCCAATTTTCAATCTATTGATACAATCGATGAAAGCGTTCTACATCATGTAATAAACATTAAAAACACTACAATTTACTCAAACAATTACATCTTTCAATCATCCTCTCTTACAACTACCAATGCATTCCCTTAGGGTTTCCCATAAGAATCCATAGAGATCTCAAATCATACAATTACAATTCTAAAATTGAAATTAATCATTCATTCAAGCAATTCATATAATTAATTATATACAAGAAAAACAACAAGTGAAATAGGCACAATTTGGGAAACCTCTCTCATATATGAGCATATAGCAAATACAGGATAATCCCACTACCCAACATACATTCGCACACCCAGAGCGATGTTTCTCACTATTCCCTTACCTTGTTGAGAATAAAAAGGATGAATGATTAACTCCGGGATGGTTTCCTCCTCTTTCTGGTTCTCTGAGCTTTGAAGCGTAATTGCGTTTGTGAAAAAAAATGTAAAACGTAAAACTAATTAGCTTTCTCTCTTTTTTTCTTTTTAAAACATAACCTCCCTTTAACCTTTTAGTAAAAATGTGAATCATGGTTAAAAAAAAATAAGTTTCGTTCCCTTATTATAAATAATTAAATAATATAACTTTTAATTATAAAACCTTACGATATATATATATATATATATATATTCATATAAAATAATTACCAACAGTTACTAAATTCAAAATATTTAATTATCACAAATATAGTAAATAATAATAAAATAAATATTAATCAGCTCTTATTAATAAAAATAAAATATCAAAATTATTAATAAAATAATACCTATATTATGTTTTATAAAAACAGGGTGTTACATATTTATTCATAGCATAATAAATAACAGATAAAATTATAATGCATTATGCAATTGACACAAATTTCATGATAACATGCATGTGGCCCTAGTAAAAACATCTCATTTGTGCATTGACGTTAGCAATACACTATTGAATTTATAAAACTCACATTTAATATAAAGTTATTGAGCAGTGTATAATACTTAGTAAAAGTTACACCGGTGTTAGTATAATCCTCCTCTCTCTCTCTCTAAGAGAAATGGAGAAAGAGAGAAGAGAGTAAAGAAATCAAATAATTTAAGAAATAAATCTTGGTAAAGTTATTCCGCTCAATAACTCATGGTGTGTGTTGAATTTCATCGATCTAATTCTTAAATTAAAAGTTATTAAATTTTACTAATAATTAATATAGAAAAAATTAATTAGCTTTGGAATAAATTATCTACAAATTAATAATATAATTGAAACATTAATTATTTTAAATTATTTAACTAAAATTTTATTGACAATTTACTATATGATCTTAATATTTTTGTATAACTAATATTTAGTTTTAAATTTGATGTGAAAATATTATGATATAATTATATAAGATTTTAAGTTAGTATTTTATTAATGGTTGGTAATTAGAGAATAAAATAAGGATAAATACATGTTTTGAATTTTATATCTTTGATTTAAGATAAATAAATATATTTAATTTTGTAATAATTTATTTAAAATGTTAAAATTTAATTTATAACTATGTAATAAATAAATATTTATAATTTTATAAATTATATTATCATTTTAAATTATAAAAATAAATAATTTAAATTATAATTTTAAATAGAAATAAGTAGATTGTTAATTATAAAAGTAAGTATATATAAATAAAGATTAATTAAATATATTATTATTATTATTCGTAATATAATTATTATATTATTATATTTTTATAGTAATCTAATGGTTGAATTTACAAAATTCACATTTAATATAAAGTTATTATGCGGTGTGTAATACTTAGTAAAAGTTACACTAATATTAGTATAATCCTGGTGTGTAATACTTAGTAAAAATTACACCGGTATTAGTATAATCCTCATTTCTCCCTCTGAGAGGGAGAGATAGAGAGAGAGAGTGGAGGAATCAAATAATTTATGAAATAATTCTTGGTAAAGTAATTTCGTTCAATAACTCATGGTATGTGTTGAATTTCATCGATCCAATTGTTAAATTAAAAGTTGTTAAATTTTACTAATAATTAATATAAAAAAAAATTAATTAGCTTTGGAATAAATTATTTTATAATTAATAATATAATTAAAATATTAATTATTTTAAATTATTTAACTAAAATCTTATTGACAATTTACTATACGACCTTAATATTTTTGTATAACTAATATCTTATTTTAAATTTGATGTGAAAATATTATGATATAATTAAATAAGATTTTAAGGTAGTATTTTATTAATGATTGATAATTATAAAATAAAACAAGGATAAATACATTTTTTAAATTTTATATCATTGATTTAAGATAAATAAATATATTAAATTATTTAATAATTTATTTAAAATGTTAAAATTTAATTTATAAGTATGTGATAAATAAATACTTATAATTTTATAAATTATATTATCATTATGAATTATAAAAATAAATAATTTAAATTATAATTTTAAATAAAAATAAGTAAATTGTTAATTATAAAAGTAAGTATATATAAATAAATATTAATTAAATATATTATTATTATTATTATTATTATTATTTATAATATAAAATTATTATATATTATTATTACAATACAAGTATGAGATTGTATAGTTCAGGATGACTTAAATGAATTAACTTGTACAAGTTATATTGACAACATGCATATACATTTTGGTAGCTTATTTCATAAGAACTTCACAGTTAAGCGTGCTTGACTTGAAGTAATATAGGGATGGGTGATCTTTTGGGATGTCTCCCAGAAATTGTGCAAGTAAGGATAAAACATGATAAAAAGTAAAATGTCGTGAAATAGAACCCTCTTGAGAGGCCAACATTCCTTTCAACTTTTGGCATTAATAAGAGGCACGTATCCCTCACAAATTTGTGACGGATTAAATCAATCACAAATTTGTGACGAAGTCACAAATTCCGTCACAAATTTGTGACGGAAACGAGTCTCTCACTAAGTTCGTCACAATTTGTGACGGAATTTTATTAATTTATGAACATTTAATATTAGAAATTAGTGATAGAATTTGTGATGCCATAATTTCGTCACTGATTGTGACGGACTGAAATTTTCCATCACTAAATATTTTGTGACGCCAATTTTTGTGACGAAATCAGTTCTGTCACAAATTCTGTTACAAATTTGTTTTATGACAGATTTTATACTGTTTTGTGACGTATTCATTCCCTCTCTAATTTTAATTTTTCTAGTAGTAATTATTCTGCCAAAAGGAAAACACTCTTCAACTCACAAGATATTGTGATTCAGATTGGGCCTCAAGCCCTATCACTAGAAAATCAATTTCGGGTTATTTGATGAAGTTGTATTTTTATACATCAGTAGAAACAATAGTATAGTTTCTTAAATACAATCTTTCAATATCCTTAAAAATTTATCACTTATTTTAAGATTCGCTTTAAGCTTAATTAACAATGTCTTGAGTCAGCCTTATCAGAAATTACTTTATAAAAATATATTTTAGCTTTTCTATATATTATGAAAAGTATTTTTTAAAAGACTAAAAATATATTTTTGAAAAATACGCACTTTCTAAAAACATATGTTTTCTCTTCTTGAAATTATTTTATTAAAATATTTTTAATCTCCTAGTTTTAGAGTGAGTGCTAAATCATACTTCAGGAAAAAAAAATTAACAAAAACCAAAATAAAATGACATTAAGTATGGGAAAAACCTTTCGGCCAGAGACAATTATAGTATTACAAATGATATTAGTTTTTGACTTGTCGGGTTAGATAAAATCATTGTCTTAAGCTTTTTTAATGGAATAAACAAGCAGAAATAAAATTTTCTTTTATAAGAAAATACATAAAAAGAACAAAAGTAACAAATCTACATGTTTCATCAATCAATAGAGTCAAACAAACATGGATAGTAAAGTATGATATTGTTACCGTCAGAATTTATGATCCCATCATCAATAAGCTTGGGGATGTTGCATATCAAGGCAAACACAGCTGCAGAGGCAGGCCAGAATATAGCTCCTTTGATTCCAAATTTACCCCCAACATCCAACACCCATGCCATGCACAAATCTGCAACAATAAAGCTGATTCTGTTGTCACCTTTCAAATGAATATCCTCAATCAGCTTCTCAAGTGTAGCATGCAACGTGCTTAGCATAGCATCACATAGCTTTCCCAAATTGTTTCTGTCATCATCGGGTCCTAAACCATCTGGGATCGAGACCAACTTGATTTGTGATTCATCAAGGCTATGTTGTTGCTCCACCATGGAACTCACCACTCGCTTGTGGTTGATTTCTGTGTTCACAAAAATGACCTTGCAACCATTCTCAACCAACTTTTGTGAGAGGATTATCATGGGGTTCACATGCCCTTGAGCAGGATAAGGTAAAACTAGCACAGTTGGGATGGTCATGTTTTGTATTTTTAATTCTTTTGATTCAGAGGCTCTACTCTTTTGTTGGCCTAGATCTAGTTTGCTTTATCGGGTTGGGGTTTGTTTATATATATCCAAAATATTAAAAATGATGTTTAATGATTATTATTTATTGATCATGCATATGGTATAACACTATTCTGAATCCTAAAAGAATATGTGGTTGATGCTTTAGTATTTGAAAGGAAAAAAATTAAATATGTTTTTAAAATTTTAATTATTTCATTTAAGTATTTAAAAACAATTTCTTATTATTATTGGTTAACTTCTTAATATATATATTAATATTAGTATTAAAGTAATTTTTTATTTTGGATTAATGAGTAATGTTTTACACATTTAATTTTTTTAAAAAAAATTATATTTTCAAAGACTATATTAGTAACATACACTTTTAGAGATTGAATGGTGTTTTAATTTGGTAAATTGAAAAATGTTAAATTAAGTAGGAAAACATTTCAGAAATAAATAATAAAAAAAAGAATATGGAAGATAAATGATTCGAAAAATAGAAAAACGAAAATGAAAGATAAATGATTGATATTATTAAGAGAATTATTATGGTACCTATATATAAATTGGAGTTTTTTAATTTTTTAAATCAATAAAAATGAAATAATGGGTATTTTTTTTATTTTACTTTTTCTTTCTCTCTAAGTGATGTATTCTTGTCTAGTAGATCATCTAAGTCAAGTTATTTTTTCTTAATATTTTATACAGAAATGTGAAGATGAGTGTTAAAAAATCAGGAATCGTGAATTACCCACCACACGTTCTTCCAGGTTGTCAATAAATTACATGTACATAAAAATCAATTAAAATTTTATCTAATTTATTAACCGATGCATTGAATCGGAATATGTTTTACAGATTATTTTTGGAAGATGTATCATTATTACACCAAAAAATTTATTGACAATTATTTAATAATAATTAATTAATTATTTTTATTTTATTATTTAATAAAAATATTAATAGTTAATAAATAATAGTTATTAAAAATGTATCTATTTTATATTAAAATTTACTATTAGTGATAATTATTTAATGATAATAAATTAATTATTTCTATTTTATTATCTAATAAAAATATTAATGACTAATAAATAATAATTACTAAAGATATATTTATAAGAGTAATTATTGAAAATGATTGGTAAAAATTAAGAATAAATTTTAATTCATTTTATTGAGAAAAAAAAAATATAAGTCTCACATCAATTAAAGATAAATTTTTTTTAAAGAGTATATAAGTAGAGGACAACCCTCACCTTACAAGTTTACTTTTTAATCAATAAAATTGTTAATTAAAATTTGATAATCAAATTATTTGAAAAATTCACTTTATAGTTATAAATTTAATCATTATAAAAAATCATTACTACAAGTAGTTCAATACTTCTATTCTTTAAGTAATAGTTAGAATATAGTCATCACTTCAAAACTTATACTCTTTAAGTAATAGTCAGAATATAGTTGAAAATATTACCTTACTCTTATAGATATTGATCTAATGTGAAGGAGTTATACTTTCTTATTTTTGAAAATGATTATCACACAATATATAAAATTGATGCTAAAATAAATATATATAAAATTTTAATTTAAATTTTTTATTATGACAACAATTGTAAGTATTATTAATAATATTTTATAAACGTTACATAAATTAAAATGAAATATTTTTTCAATATAGTTTAACAATTTCCTACAACATAGGAAAAAAATAAAGACCACTAATATAAAATTGATAATCATTTAAACTTAAATTTATTTCAAAACTAATATAATTTTTTTCAATTCATTTTCCTATATGTAATGACCCGCCGTGGCCGTCACACTATGAAACAATACTACACACTACTGGAATATATATATACTAAAATAGTATAATAAAATATTTACAACACAAGTTGCTAATCAAGCAACCAACAACAATCAATTATATACAACAAAGTATGCTACTATAAGGTAGCCTTAAAAAAAATCATCTCCAGGCACCTCCTGTGGCCTATAGCAGCTATCTCCCAGCCTATTCCTGCCCTGCTCCCATACAACGTATGATCATCACAGTCCAAACTACATAGAAACATGCAAGGGTAAGCAAAAAATAATAAACAACTCATAAATATCAAATATGCAACATAACAACTATATAATCATCTACACATCCGACACAGAAGACAAACAACACATATATTACACATCTTTCAACAACACATGTTTAAAACTGCTTACAACATAACAACACTATCATCATCCTCAACAGGGTCAACATACAACACAATCACAGCTTAACAACATAACAACATAGATACAACTCTTATCAACAACAAATTAACTCATTAACAACTTATGCTTCGTCACGCATTTCAACTCAGAGATCTCCAACAACTAAGGTTGAGCAATCTAGGTGGCATAAACCCTACCGAATCCAGCATTTGACCTATCTCAAATAGGTCAGGTATAGAATAGCGTTAGGAACTCTAAAGAGAACCAAGTATAGACAACAATAGGCGATTGCTCAGGTGTGCCACTTAGACTCGGAGGTCCAGTACTACTGTTAGGACAGAAGAGTTTGGGTATGAGCCTACCATAGCCTTGGCTAGCATCACCAATCTACATATGGAGTTAGCCCACCCACTGTCATCAAAGTACCACGCACCCTCCAGTACCTAATCAAAGACTATATCTCTAACTAGATACCTTACTTAAATTGGTCATTCAACTATGACATGGATCGACTATTTCCATGTCGCCCACACAATACTAAGGGATTCAACTTTAAAACAACTTTTAACTTTAAAACAACTTTCAACTTATCACCTTAGTACTATGTATCTCAACATAGGACATATATCTTCACCATATGTCCCCAACTTTTCAACTTTACAACAATAGACACCATAACAACTTTACAGCAATAAACATCTGGCCACTTGTAATCGATATAGCTCGACATGGCCCCTATACCGTGGTCGCTTTGTACACGTGTGCCTCGACCTTTCCCACACATGGGATCAACTAAGTCCTAGAGGAGAACAACACAATGTCCACTCCAAGGGACAACTTCCCAGGGAGGGCTTTTCAACAAATTGGGCTCTCAGAGCACCACAATTATCTCAATCCACACAATGGGATGAGCAACTTCGAAAACATATCCCCTAGTCTTAGTGATCAACAACTCATCATCACAGCTTTACAGCAATAGAAATCTTAACAACTTCACAGCAATAGACATCTTAACAACTTTATAGCAATAGGCATCTTAACAAGTTTACAGCAATAGACATCTTAACAACTTTACAGCAATAGGCATATTAACAACTTTACAACAATAAACATCTTAACAACTTTACAAAAATAAACAACTATAGTCATCAATCTCAACTTTAACAACTTTAAACAACATAGCAACTTTTCCACATACATCCTAATACAACTTTACAACTTATAAACTACTTCAACTTATACCTCTCGACTTATTAATAATTCAAAAATAAACAACATGTAAACAACTTCACAACTTAACTACAACATGCATCTCATTTACATCTCATCTTCATCACAAAAGCATCACCAAAAAAAATCTACAATCTAGCTTCCCTAAGCTCTTCCACGCCTGGCGCGCTCAACCTGCGCCTAGCCTAAACCCAGTCAAAGAGTTTCAAAACTCTCATCCAAACCAACAACTCCAGCCACATGCAAACATAAAACACAATACATAGGCTCCATACAACTCAAAATATACTTAAATCTCACATGCATCCAACCTATGCATCAAAATCATCAAAATCCTCCTTTTTCTCAAAAACCCCAAAAAATGAGATTTTCTTCAATCCATCTATGGATTCTCAACATTCATGCATCAATTGAGTTTCTAAACTCACATGCAACCTAAACAACAAACATTCTAGCTTCCTTCACCTGAAGATTGACTCAAAATAGCCAATAACTGAGAAGAAGTAGAATTCACTTCCGAAACTCAACCCGGAACTTCAATCCTCCCAAAGCAAGCTTCCTAATCTGAATTTCAAGAAAAGACAGAAGGCATTAGTGATCTAGAGGAGAAAAGGAATCATACAGAGAAATTTGGGAGAGAAAGGAGCTCACAGACCCAGATTCCTTCTCTCTAAAACTTCTCTCTAAAAACCTCATTTTCTCCTCAACCACCTAACCCCTATTTATAGAAGTTCAGGACTGGCCAGAACGGCATGTTCCGAATTCGGAATGACCCGTTCTACACCCCCTCATCACGTACAAAAATCACATGCAGAACGGCTCGTTCTGAAACTAGAACGGCCCGTTCTGGGATTCATCCAGAACAGCCCGTTCTCCATCCAGAATGGCCCGTACTCCCTCCGGAATGGCCCGTTTTGGGGTTTGGAACGACCCGTTCTCCCTCCAGAACGGCCCGTTCTCAACTACGATTTTCAGGTCAATTTAGTAGTTTGGAACAGCCCGTTCCAGATTGGGAACTGCCCGTTCTGGGCTACTAAATCACCCATATTGGGATTTTGGGCCTTCCGAAATAACCTACTACGTTACAAATTTCATACTAGAAAGCTTGCTTTTGGATGATTGAAGTCTGCGAGTCAAGCTTTGGAGGAATTTCTTTGCTTCTTCTCAGTTCTTGGCTTTCTAAGCCAATCTTCAGGTGAGGGAAGCTAGAATGTAGATTGGTTGGTTGCATGTGATTTAGGAACTCAATTGATGCATGAATCTTGAGAATCCATGGTTGGATTGGAGAAATCCTCATTTTTTGGGGTTTTGGGAAAATGGGATTTTTGGTGATTTTGATGCATTAGATGGGTGCATGTTGATTCTGAGTCTTTTTTTGTGTTGTATGGAGCCTATGCATTGTGTTTTCTTGTTTGCATGTAGCTAGATTTGCTGATTTTCAGGTATTGTTGGAAATTTTTGAAGTTTTGGAGGCTACTGCTTGAATTTGTGCTGGGCGCAGTTCTTGGCGTCGGGCGTGCATTCATCTAAGACACCCATTTCTTGATCGCGCCAGGCGAGATCATGAGTGGGGAGTCTTTGGTTGAGAGCG